CTGCTTTTTTAAAAAAGTTGGGGTGTTTTTTGTTTGTTAAAATCTCTACTTTTGATGGTATAAAAAAAATATACATTACTATACCAAATGTTCTCAGAAAATGGAAATTAATAATGAAAAAAACTCGAATCCGGGCGATCTGAGGTCGGGAAGGGGGAGGCCCTTCCCGACCTCAGATCGCCCGTAATTTATTTTTCCTTTCATTTTTGTTATATTCTCTACCTTTTCTAATGGGTTTCATCCTACTATAATTTTTTTTGGTCTCAAAAATTATCGACCCTGGTCTAACACCACTTTAGACTTATATAAAAGTTAAGATTCTGCCCTGCCCTTTGACAATTCAGTGTTTCTGTATAAAAAAAATGAGTATGTTTCTTAAAATAAATCTTTATCACGATTTAATAAAACTCTCAACAAAACTTGATTTATGTAGCAAATAATATTCCATTTATTTGAAGACAAAATTCAATTACAATATAATACATGTTAAGCATTTTACCTATGAAAAGTGCCGGTTCTGATTTTGAACGCTGTTAGTGCATTTTAGAACTAAAGCTTCGTCTCGTTGGTGTGGGAGAAGCATTAGAAGGCAAAAGTTGAGGTATTTGTTTTTGGTTGTTCTAGCTGTGTATTCTGTGGTAATAAAGTTGAACTTTGTCTATGATTGCGTAATACAACTTCATTAAAAAGTTATATGCTCAATGCTTTATATGGCGCTTTTGATACGATTTTATTTGGTCGAATTATACAACACGACAATTCAACTGACTGATCAAGTCGACACAAATAAAAATGGTGGTTCAATAGATTAGATTTCTCTGAAATAAAGATTATTTTTATTGAATTAGTTTATGTACATAAACACATCAAAATATAAAGAGTGGAGTGCGTTTGCAACTTTTAAGATTTTAACTGTACAATTGGTGCGTTTACAAGGTGCATCAGTGATAGTTGTGTTTGCCAAAATAACAGGTTGTTGAAGACACCGATTTCGCTGCAGTTTTGTGTTTAATGTGTTTTTTATTCGTGAACGCAGTGCATTTACAGCAAATGTAAGCCATTGCACGAGATTGGGAATAAATTTAGAGTGACAAAATAAGATAAAAACACGAAAGCTTTACATTTTCAGCCGAAGCTTCGCTGTCTAATCAGCATGTGACCCAAATAAAAGATTTCTCTTCTTTGTGTAAAAGTGTTGAACCCATGTTTTGTATTAGATAGCTCGTGGGTCGAGACGATAATATTCTAGTGACCGTCTTGAGTGATTGTTATCTATACGTAAACCGCGTTCAAAGAATATGTCACGGATGAATTCAACCTGTTCAGTGCTACATGGGGGGTCAGGTGCATAAGCCTGGACACACGGATAATAGATTCAAAACGAATAATTTGTATAGTGACGATTAATTGAATGTGTACATTAGTAAAAGAGAGTTTCAATTGACAACAGCACAACAGTGCTGTAAGAAATTACAATTCCTGAATATGTTTATAAATCTGAGTATGAATCAGGTTATAAAACCGATAGTAAGACGAAAGGAAAGAGGTGAATTAAGTGCATACTGAATTGTTGACATTAAGGAATAGAACAATGTCCTATAATGGCTAATACTGAAAATCACAGATACATAGTGCAGGTAAGTGAAATTGGTCAAAAGATGTTGTTTGTTTATAGTTGAAATCAACTATAATATAGTATTTTACTCTAATCTTGTTCATCAGTTATTAGGATTATTTCAATAGCATTTTAATTCACAGTTGATGTTTATAAGATGCAACAAAGCTGTAGTTTTAAAGTAACCTGTTTTCCCACTAGTGTCCATGTAAAATAAAAATGTAGTTTTGGTTTTAATACTATAATATTTCGCCAAACAATTCAGCCCCTCTATCATGAAACTGGATTGATTTCACATTAGCTATGTTATGTAAATTTTGGTATTTTAAACTTTTTTTTATTGATTTGTCATATTAACCAGTACCTACATGAATGTTACATGAAAATCACAATATTTTTATTAAACTCATAGCAAAGTAGTTATGTGATAGATCCCCTGACTAGTCTCAATGGGATTAGTGCTAAGTTACAAATATGATTCAGGTGTTTGTGGGTGCCCTGTCTGCACAATATGAAGCCTTATCAGTGGAAGCCTCCAAGCAAACTAGCTCGGAAGAGATAGTTGGCTGTATTGCTGAGAAACTCAACCTAAGCAATGGCACTGGAGGCCCATATGAATTGGCTGAGGTAAATTTTTCAATATTTATTTGAATCAAGTGTAGTTAACACTGTTTTTGAGCCTATTATATATAATATAAAGGGAAATTATTTGATTGATCCTCAAAAAAAGTAGATGATCCCCAAAAAATATAAATGCTAACCTAAAGGTTAGGTTACCAGTTGTATTTTTTATTTAAATATTATAAAATATCACCACAGTGTAATATTTAAATATGATCCATTATAAAATATCACCCGAGTGTAAGGGCCTGCACTACATTAAGCAGGAGTACAGATGCTTTATGAAATAAACTGCATAAATGAGGATGGACATCTACTTTTTGCTGCTGCTAAACACAGCGCAGGCCCTTGAGTGTGACCAAATCACACAGCAACACCACACTCAATCTGTGAAATGAATTTTCTATTGCTTGATTATATTGATCTACTTAAAATATAAATAAAAAAAATTGTCAGGGTAGTCAAATATTAAATACATATAAAATTACATGTTTAAAAAAATAATGAACTTTGAATTTTTTTCTTTAAAGCCCCCTTGTTTGACACATTGACATTGATTAATAGTTAAGTCAAATTTGACTGTTAGTCAATGACACATTGAATACATAGAAAAAAGTGGGTAAAATTTTCTGATAGTATTTTAATTTACCTATAGTCACATTTAACAATGTATCAAACAAGAGGGCCTAAGAAACTGTTCAAAGGTTATGTATGGTATTTTCTCTAGGAATGTAGTGATGAAATCATTCCATTTAGTTATAATCAAAGCATAAAATGCCTGAATGTTAACATAAATATTTGCTGCACATGTTGCAAATCATCAAAGCTATATTGCCTTCTATTTTATAATATTTAATCATTATTTAAAAAAAAAATACCTGAATAATTCCACTCAAAATGGCAGTAGCCAGGATAATCCTGTCTGATGCCTGGACCAAGTGGTAGGCACTTTTTCTAGTAAAATTGTCTTTAGATTTAGAAATCTAGTTAAATATAAATAAAATAAAGTAGTTATTAAGTACACTTGCATTAAATGCATTCTTTATGAATTCTTAAAACTTATTGTATTGAAAGTCTTAACCAATTAGTCATAGCTTTACTATGCTGATGACATCTGTCATTACTGAAATTTTGATCATAGCCAATGAGTATCAGCAGGATATGAACTACACTTATATCTTAAGATTGAATTAGTTATGAGTAGATTGTTCTAATGTTTTGTTTCTATCTAATGTTACTTTTTCATCATTAAAGGACCCACATGTTTGCTATTAAAACTGTATGTGATATAGTATTCATGTTTTAAGTTTCTTATATAACTATACACTACATTTAAATTAGGTGGTGGGTGACATGGTCAGCGGAGAATGTAAGGAGCGTAGACTTGGTGCCAACGAATCACCAGTTGCAGTCATGCTACTCTGGCCTAATAATAACTCTGGTCAATACTACAGGTATGTATCTGTAAACAAATTAGACATATTTATCTTAACCCATTCATTTAATCAATACTTATCTTAATATGTTACTGTAGATAAAAATAGGGATTGAGTTACAAATTATAAATATGTATGAATGATTACCCAGAATAATCATCCAAATTGGTCTTGTTAACTATTCTGTATAAAAAATCTAACCAAACATGATGCTTGAATATAAATACTATGATCATCCGGCTTATTCACTAACTTTTTTGACATTTTCAGTGTGTAACTAAAGAGAAAATTGCATATCCATCAATACTTTTCAGAACAAGTATCTTAGTGGCGTTATTACAAAGCAGTAGTGGATCACTAAATAGCTCAGTGATTATCACTTCCATCTGTCAAAAGCAGTTTGCGAATAGGGCTACAGCTAGCTAGCTGCAAGCTCCAATGAAATCATGTAGTTGCATTATTTAATGCACTTATTATGTTATTTAACAATATTTTTTGATGCAATATCAGTAAAAAAAAACTACTCAATTTTCTAACAAGGATTTAATTTTTACAGATAGTTTAGTGAAAATAACATTGAAATTCTTTATTCTGATAATATATCTACTTACCATTTGTGTTCCTTCAGTTTTTAATTACTTTTGTACTTGCTGCTCATTTACAGTTTTTGCAGTTTATTTTATTTATTTATGAGGAATAAGGTAAACATACAGGTTAATGATAAATTAATATTATTTTATCATCCTTATTTTAAGTACATATCATAACTCCTAATTTCGTTTATTAAATTAAGGAAAAATTAATCTACTAAAATTATTTGAAACTATGTTACAGTGAATCATAAACAACTTTTTTTCAGCGTAGTATTTGGGTTGAGAAGGATTAATTATAATAAAATTAATGCTAAAAATATAATAGTTTTTTTTTATAAATGTTATTAGAATGCATAAATATTAGCTGTGGTGGAGATAGGTGGCTTAGTTACTTGCAATTACTTTATTCCATCGATTAAGTTCATTAATACGCGACATCTAACCTTGCATACACACCTGCTAATTATAGCGCCCTGTCACTTGGATATTATCTCTTATTATTGTGGTACGGCGCATACGCATTCATTTGGTCCAAGCCCTGAGTAATCATAATTAACTGGCTGTTTACCCATGTACTATATCCCTACGAAGATCGCGACAAGACTGTTGTGTCGACAACATGCAATGACTCATTCTTTTTAACTGGATGTTGTAACAATGTAGCAATTATCTCTAATCATGTGAACTAAATATTTTTTATATCCTTTATCAACTTTTTTTGTGAACACTGTCCTTCAGTATTCACAGAGACCAAAGATTGAATAATAGTTTTTAAGGACAGAATTAAATGCTATGTAATGTGGAAACCCATTCGATTGGGGATAAAATGAGCGCGTGATTCACTCTTCCGCCGCAACTCTGTGATAACAGCGTCTCCATCCTGCCAATTAAATTAAAACAGACTTGCAAAACAAACATGGACTCTGCCACATAACTCTTTAGCCGAATTCTTACGGAGTTTTAAAATAATAACCAACATGACACAGAAGTAATATTCAATATATGGTAATAGTTGATGTATACATAATATTACATACAATATTAAAATTGTTTTTTTTTTTTCAGATTTTATCTTCGGGAAAAAATACCAGAGGAACCATGGATGGAAAACTTTTCAGTGGACCCTCAGTTGATAAAGGATTTTTTTCAAAGATTTCTATACCAGCCAAAGGATAGAGAGTACCCTGACCTTTGTCAACTGCCAGAACTTAATGAGCAAACCCTGCTGGACAACCTTAGAGCAAGGTTTGCAGCAGGATATATCTACACATATGTGGGCTCCATCTTGATAGCTCTCAATCCATTCAAGTTCTACCCTATATATAATCCGAAGTATGTAAAGTTGTACCAAAACAAAAGGATTGGCTCCAGTCTTCCACCACATATATTTGCAGTTGCAGACGCCGCTTACCATTGTATGCTGCGGGAAAGAACCAATCAGTGTATAGTGATCAGTGGAGAAAGTGGTTCGGGCAAGACGGAGAGCACTAACTTCCTGTTGCATCACCTAACAGCCCTCAGTCAGAAGGGCTCTCATGGCAGTGGTGTTGAACAGACAATACTAAGTGCGGGTCCTGTTTTAGAAGCGTTTGGTAATGCAAAAACCGCCCATAATAATAATTCGAGCCGTTTTGGAAAGTTTATACAAGTTAACTACAAAGAAAATGGTATGGTCCATGGTGCAGTTGTACAGAAATATTTACTTGAAAAATCTAGAATATGTAGCCAAGGTCGCAACGAGAGGAACTATCATGTGTTTTACTATTTGTTAGCTGGTGCTTCAGAACAGGAGAAAGAACAGTTGCATTTGTTAAGTGTAGACAAATATAATTACTTGTCACGTACTGGGTGTAGTGTTGTGCCGGGTGTGGACGAGCAGTATGAGTTCTCGCGCCTCAAACAATCTATGGACATGGTGGGATTCACCATGGACAAGCGGCGGCGATTGTTCGCTGTGTTATCCGCCGTGCTACTATTAGGTGAGTTATCAACAATTGACCATCAAGACAGTCAAGCATTGTACCTAGTCAGGTCATAAATTCTGACACATGTTTGATATAAAATAATTGAAACAAGTTTATTCATTATGTAACCATTTATATACCAAAATGAACTTAACAAAACATAGATTCTTATGACAATAAAGTTTATTCATGACCTCCGTGATTTTGAATATAGGCCTTCAATTTGCACGGCCAGTCGTCTACTGCAGCACGAACGAGGTCCATGTCAATATGGGAGGCTGCCTTAATCAAGGATGTCTTGAGTGACTCCAAATTGGGATGAGGCTTTGAGCTCGCCTTTTTCTTCAAGTGTTGCCATATCTTGTAATCCAACGGACTCAAATCTGGACAGGAGGAGGGCCAGTCTCCGTGCCAGATGAAGTCGATTTCTCTCAGATTTTCTCAGTCTTGTGTGCTTTTCGCTCTATGAGCTGGCGCCGAATCTTGTTGGAATACCCAGTGCCTGTTATTGAACATGGTTTGAGAAATAGGTTCCACAAGGTTCGTAGGACTGTATTTTGATACACAACTGCATTCGTTTTTACACCTTTCTCACAAAAGAAACTCCCTGCCAAACCATGAGCGAGGATGGAAAATGACCTCGTTGGACACGCGGAATACTTCGCGGCGGTTGCTCGCTTCTTCACTACTGTGTGCGTACACCTTATCATTTTGTTTGTTGTAGCTCTCAATAATAATTTTTTCATCCGAAAAACAGAATTTCCATATATTTTTTTTCCCGCGTACTGCTTCAACAAAGCGCGGCATCTCTTCAGTCTTAGGTCCATTAGACGAGCATTCAAACGATGTCCTGTTTTTCTTCGATATGGCCGAAGCCCTAAGTCTTCATTTAACATCCTTTTCACAGTGGTTCTGCTTAACCCCATCTGAAGGGCCAACATTTTCTGCTTACGTTTGGGATTTCTTTGAATTCGCGCCTTCACAGCTTTTGTCACTGCTGGAGCCCTAACAGACCGAGGTCGACCACTTCTTGACCTGTCATCTACACTAGAGTCTTCATTGTATCGTTTGATGGTACGATAAATGAATCTTTTGGTTATATTAAAATTTTTCAGTATGTCAAAAATTTGAATTGGCCCATAACCGCAACAATGCAACGCAATAACTGCAACACGGTCTTCTTTAAGCGTCCACTCCATATTTAAAATGAGTAAAACTCTAAAAAGTATACATTATTATTTTCATGAACAACTCGAAATTCGAATTCAATAAACTTTTTTGTGGCCATCATTCTAAAAGAAAAGTTTTTACTGTGTGACAATACTTATGACATGACTGTGTATTGAGGTGGTTTTCCAATTACAGAGCATAATACGACTCAGTAGGCATGCGTCCGATATATCAAAACGAATCCAAAATCCGATTTCAAACACAAATCGATACCGAACGATTTCTCAACTAGAAAATCCGATTTCAGAAATCTAACCGAACCAAAACGCTAGCGATCACGTATCCAAATGTAAATCGGATTCGAAATTCGTGCTATCTTTTTTTCTCCGCTTTGTAGCGATTGGTTAGAAAGAGAGAAAGCGAATTTGTTTACAATTTCGAACGTCAGTAAAATTCGCTTTGTCTCTTTCTTACCAATCGTAACAAAGCGGAGTAAAAAAGATGCCGCGAATTTCGGAAGTCCGATTTGGATTTCTTGTTTACGGAAATCTATTGCCATTGAATATGTGCGATCAATATAGTCTTACGACACAGTACTTAAAGACTATATTTGCGTGACTAGGCTGTGAGGTGATGTATTTTGGCTTATATCTTAGCGTGCGTTTGTTTACTACAAAAACTTGGTGCTTTTGTTTAGATGCAAATTTGACCTTGATATGCAAGTGCACGCATGTCAGTCAGTGATTTTTGTTTGCCGGGTTTAGATAATTATTAATTACGTGTTTGTTAAGACTGGATTGGAGTTCAGAGTTCATAAAGATAATAATAATAAGTCAACTTAGTAAATTGTGTACCCACATATTATTGAAATTTTGACGTGACAACGTCTTAAATTAGGTTGCGGCTGGGAGTCACTTATGAAAAAGTGTAACGCTCGGTAACGTTACGATGAGTCTCTCGTGTTAAGTTTAAGTTTACATGTACAATGTTTTAGTAAACAAAATATATTTCTATAGTTAAAAACCACACCAGGCTGGTGCACCACGCGCAGGTAATGTGTGACCCACGCGTGCCCCACCTGCGGGGCATGCTTCACCTACCACGCCGCGCTATACAACCACACCAGGCTGGTGCACCACGCGCAGGTAATGTGTGACCCACGCGTGCCCCACCTGCGGGGCATGCTTCACCTACCACGCCGCGCTATACAACCACACCAGGCTGGTGCACCACGCGCAGGTAATGTGTGACCCACGCGTGCCCCACCTGCGGGGCATGCTTCACCTACCACGCCGCGCTATACGACCACACCAGGCTGGTGCACCACGCGCAGGTAATGTGTGACCCACGCGTGCCCCACCTGCGGGGCATGCTTCACCTAACACGCCGCGCTATACAACCACACCAGGCTGGTGCACCACGCGCAGGTAATGTGTGACCCACACGTGCCCCACCTGCGGGGCATGCTTCACCTACCACGCCGCGCTATACGACCACACCAGGCTGGTGCACCACGCGCAGGTAATGTGTGACCCACGCGTGCCCCACCTGCGGGGCATGCTTCACCTACCACGCCGCGCTATACAACCACACCAGGCTGGTGCACCACGCGCAGGTAATGTGTGACCCACGCGTGCCCCACCTGCGGGGCATGCTTCACCTACCACGCCGCGCTATACAACCACACCAGGCTGGTGCACCACGCGCAGGTAATGTGTGACCCACGCGTGCCCCACCTGCCGGGCATGCTTCACCTACCACGCCGCGCTATACGACCACACCAGGCTGGTGCACCACGCGCAGGTAATGTGTGACCCACGCGTGCAAGTAAATTCTTATTCTTATTTTCATTCAATTCCTTGTTCCTATTGTGCAATTTAATTATATTCTTATCAATAAATATTCTACCGAGAAAAAGACGTTTTTAATTTGTTTTTTTTTAACTGTTGACTTTTTAATTGATTAGACGAGTTTTGTGTTGGTTTTCAAAATATCGTTAATTAATTGTTTGTTATTGTCGTTAGCTAATAAAACCAAATCTTAACACAAACTAGTGAATTGGCTAAGTTAGGCACATCTGAAATCGGATATCTAAAAACGGATTTTGAAATCGATTTTGAAATCTGAAATCCGATATATATCCGTTTGCGTTCAAAACCAAAAACGCCCATGTCTACGACTCAGTGGCGCACAATGCCGAATTATGCTGATGCTTAATTGGAACGTGAATTAGTTTTCAAATGCACCAGCAGAGTGCGCTAAGTTCAGTGTTGAAAAGAAAAGTCAATGTTAGTACCTTCATCCATATTTATATTTAATTTTTTAACACAGTTTGAATTAACTTTGATTATTTTAAAAAAAACTGTAATGAAACGACTTTTAATAATTTTTCAACAATAAATAATATTACTAACATAAAAATAAAACATTTCGATCAATGCCAACTTAAAGAAAAAAACTTGTTTATTTTCTGTCTCTGAGTTGGTACGATTGCACGCATCACACGAAAGCATTACTTTTGAGAGTGCTCGATTGTGCGAAGCGTTGCTGTAGTTAAAACACTCAACGTTAAGCATTATGCCACATAATGCGCTATAATGCAGTAATTGGAAAGCTACCTGATTCTTTACTTATACTTATTATTATTTTTGATAAAATATGAAATTAGGTATGTATTAATAGGACATCTAATGGACATAGATTATAACCAGAGTTTGGAAAAGGTATTGTTGATAGTACACATTCCAGCTAAATAAACATTATAATCATATTATGAGTTTATCTTCATGATATAATCTAATCTAAAGCAATATGTCATTATCTGATAATAAAATACATTTTGTGGATAGTTTGGTAAACAGCTGATCTTAATAGAATATTATTTAGAATAAAGGCAATAAACCTTTGAATTATGAAACAGCAAATTTCAACATTAACAACATCATAATAATTAAGTTATATTCATTGATAAGAATAACAATGTTAATGTTTTTATAACATTCCATATTATAAAGTGAGCCTTTGTCTGAATAATGTAACCCTTTTTGAAACTTACCTATAATTTAGTATTAAAATATTCAGCCTTAATTCTATTAAAGATACCACAAACATAGATAATATAGCACAGACATATATCTATGTGAAAAATACATACTGTGACCATCATCTTTCCTCTGTGGAGCTTAGTCAACCTATTTGCTAACTTTTTAGACATTTACAGTGTGCAACTAAGGAGAAAATTGCATCCATTGATGCTTTTCAGAACAAGTATCTTAATAGCGTCATGATAAAGCAGTAGTGGATCACTAAATAGCTAGGTGATTATCACTTTCATCTGTCAAAAAAAGTTAGCAAAATAGGCTTACTGGTAACCTAGGTCACTACAAGAAACAACATAACTGAACTCTTCTGTAAAGTGGAGGATACTTCACCAGGAGTGCTTCATTTTTGGTTAAAGGAGGACGGGCATTTTGGTATCCAATTGGTGTTTGGTATCAATAGCGATGAGTGATATATCATTGAATACCTCTTTTCATTTAGAATATTAGTTACTATGGCGGCATTCTGATATTTGTTGTCCGTTTTTATTTTTTCCAGAAAATACCAGAACCATTTTTGCCGGAACCGTTATTACCATTATTACTACATTATTATACTTACCGAATAATAATTATAATATTATATTATTATTTTTTTACCATTTTCTTTTATTAACGTTCTCGTTAAAGATAAACATTAAATAGTTCTCAGGAGGTTGTATTGTTACTAAGTCGGAAGGCCACTGGTATCTGCAATACTTTTTTTTTAAACTATTGCGGATATCAACGCTCTAACATAATGCCTAATGTTAATACTTACAACACTGCTAAAATAATGTAAATACTAAAATGTATAACAATTTAAAAAGGAAAAACTTTTTTTTATTATTTATTATATAACTCTGTTTCGACAACGTATCAGGGCAAGCGCCATAGTAGACATTATTGTATTCAAGTAGACCTTTCAAATGATATGTAACACATCTCTATTGGAACGGATACCAAGTTCCATAGATTTTTGCCCATTATCCTTTATAATGGTCACAGTATGTATTTTTCACATAGATATATGTCTGTACTATATTATCTAAGTCTATCGTATTTTTAATGGAATCAAGGCTGAATATTTTGATACTATAGGTAAGTTTCAAAAAGGGTTTCATTATTCAGACAAAAGCTCACTTTATAATGTTGAATGTTATAATAAAATTTACATTATTCTTATAAACAAATATAAAATTCATATTTGGTGGTAAGAAGTAACTTTAATATACTATATAAATATACTTATATATGTGCAGTATATGTATTCTAGCTTGGAATCCCATTACACAAGCCTGACAGTGCATACTTTGGGGCTAGGCTAATTGGTATGATTGTTGGAAATATTTATTTATTGCTCTCTTAAAATGAGTACTTTATATGTAACAACTATGTGTGTTTGTCTGTTAAGTCTACTTTTGAATTGAAGGCAAAAACTACAACCTTTAGTAGTTTATTCCATTTCTTTACAACTCTGTTGCTAAAAAAATCTTAAAAGGTTACTGTTTGCATTGCATGTATGCAATTTGAAATTATGGCCACTAATGTGCTTGTATTTTTAATTTTCTTTATATTAAGGGAATAAAATAACAAGGAATATCATAATACCGATTTAGGATTCTGTAGTTTTCAATAGGGTCTCTGTTTCCTGAGGTTACACATTTGTTCATATGAAAACGTTATTTCGTGGTAGTAGGGTTCAATGTCAATTGTATACGAGAAAGAAAGAGGGTTTGATTAGGGTGCGAGAGAGACATACACGATCACGTGACGCGCGGGGCGTACATGGGGAGTTATTTTGTTGCTACTATTAAAATTAAATTAATAAGCAATACGATAAAAAACAACAAAATAGTTGCGTACCTTTCCTAGTATCAAGGGACACTTGCCTGAAATACGACACTCAGGTTTTTAAGTGTGGATCTGGTGTAATTTGCACATGTTTTAACCAAACACGAAGCGCGGTCGAAACACAACTGTTTGAAAATTACGCACAATAGACGCGTGTGCGTAATTTAGTTTCCGACACTTTTTTAAACGCGTGTGTTAATCTACTTATTTTTTTACGTCAATTTTTTTACGGTTTGAACATATTTAATTGGGGTAATTCACCAACTCGACAGAAGAGACGACACACGCGTGTCCAGTTGCTAAAATTCAAAATTAGTATCATTATTCTTTCGTCATCTGGACACGCCAAGATTTTGTCTCAACTAGGATCTGGGATTTTTTTAAAGTTTTTTGTCTTTTTTCCAAAAACTCCAAATGCCCTAGACAAAATAGGGACTTCACACTTGAAATGCGTATTCTAAAATAGGACTGATGAAGGTTTTCTTAAAATTTTAATATTTCTACAGGTAATGTAGAGTTCCAACCGCAGCGAAAGTCTTATCATCACGATGAAGCTGTTGGAGTACGGAACCCCGAAGTCGTCTCCCTCATATCCTCACTTCTGCATGTGAAACAAGAAACATTGCTCGCTGCACTCACATCTAAGAGGGCGCGCGCCTCTGGCGAAACCCTTGTTATTAATTATAGGTAATAAACAAAATAATGAGTACTGGAGGACTGATCTCATCAATATTACTTTGAATATATAATTGAACTGTAAGTTTGACATGTTATTCAGAAAATAATAATTAAAATTTGTTTACAGGTTACCAGAAGCGATAGCCACTCGTGATGCTATGGCCAAATGTTTATATGGTGCTCTATTCGATTGGATTGTGATGCAAGTTAACCACGCGCTGCTCTCTAAAAAGGACACTTTTCGGGAACACCAAGGACATAGCATAGGTAAAAATGTAATAACGATTCATCCGCTGTAGCGCGCTACACGTCCCGACTCGTAGATCTGTGCTTCGCGTCGGGACGCGTTACCAGTGGGCGAATCTGCTTAAAAACACGCGCGGGACTGCGGCGTTATACCCCACCCGCGGAACGCCCCGCGCCTACGCGCAGATTGGCAGAATCTGCGCCCGTGACGCGCCACCGCGCACCGTTGCTTGGTCAGTGTGTGGTAGGTCTCGTGATTTCTATTCAAACTGTCATATTTGCATAGAACGTTAAAATCTGCGCTCACGCGCTACGCGACGTGGCGCGTCGCAGTGGGTGAACCGCCTAATTGTGATATATCATACTTACTTTTTGTTGGCCCCCGTTTCCGCACGTAGACTCCGTACTTGGTCCATTGTGCGTGCAGGGTATAGTTGGGCTAGCTAGTTCAGCCAACCCAGCTCCTTTCTAGAAGTGCACTAGTCTCCAGGGACTCTCACAGGGTTCTAGGAGCGTTCTCGGCTTCCTAAGGATTGATGCCCGGTGTTCTGCCACGCTCATGCATTCCAGGATCATATGAGTGGCCGTTTAATGTGCTTCCAGACCTCTGCATAGAGAGCTATCTGTAACACGTATGGTTAGTAAATGAGTGCCTTGTTATGGTTCCCAGCATTACTCTAGAGATCACTTCGCTATAGGTTTAATAGTTTTCTAGTTGGTCTGGGGTTGAGGTTAGGAAAAATATCTTTAGATTGCCTGCAGCTCTCGGTACTGGTCCAACAGGTGATATGGTTCTGTATGGTTCGCTGACACATCCATGTACGAATTTGATTGAAGGGTAATGGTAGAAGTGGCTCAGGGCCTGTTAATAACAGAGGTGGCCGCCTGATTAATGGCTATGCATACGCACTGGAATATTGAGTTGTGATTACACAGTGCTGTTGATTTATGAATGTTAAGGTCTAGTGAGAAGACCCCTGCGCCTTTTCCCCTCCGGATCCTGGTATTTTGGATCCATCAGTCAAACCCTTCCAGCATTCAGCCTTTCTGAATCGGATGCACTTTTTGTAGCGCGACGTACCTCCTTGTAGCGTATCCAGTCGTGTTCTAATCTTGATTTTTTGCTCTGTTGAAAATCTTTCTTACCCAACGCCGCAACTTCTCCAGTTCAGGACCTCACCAATTGTGTTTGCCTTTGGCTGTGGTGCGTTGTTGTACTAGTGGGCATGATTGTTTATGAAAGACGGTTAAATTTGATGTTAGGTTATTCACGTGTGTGTCTATTTCCATAGGATATTTATAATCCACTTGCAAGTGGAGACACTTCAGACAGGTAGTGGCTACTTAATAGATTTTTTTCGGTCAGTCTTACGTGGAATGGGTCGAAGGTCTGGTGGTTAAAATCGATACAATAAAACGTAATCCATCTGTGATCACAGCATGATGCTTCGTCGGATAAGTGCCAGTCAGTGATGAATTCGGCAATTTTCTCACTGGTTAGGCTTAGGTCGATTATTGCCTGGGCTCTTGATGTTACAAACGTAGGTTCGGAGCTTCTGTTGATGATTTTTAAGTTTGTTGAGAAAAGGTAGCCAGAAAACTCCTCACCTCCTGTATTGGTGTCGTGGCTGCCCCAAAGTGTGTTGTGCGTTGGAGTCAGCGGCGATGATTAGCTCCAGTCCCTCTTGCCCGCAGTGTGTCACCATCCTTTCGAACTCCGGCAAGGGGATTTCAGTGTCGCTCGGTGTTTTATCATAATATTCAATCTATAGGTAGACCGCTTAACTAAGTCGTCGCCTGCGGGCGACAGGCACATTCTTGTCAAAATTACAAGTCCCCGCCGACTGCACCTCTCACGTACCCCGTTCTCGTCCCGCCCCACAACCTGTACCCCGCAGGCGAGTCTCAGTTAAGCGGTTTACCTATAAATATTTTTTCCTATTATCGCCCTTTTTCCTCCTTTTTTTTAATGTACTGGTTTTTACCAGAAAAGTCGGGAATGTGACCAAACAAATTAGTAATACAAAATGCAATAGCAATAAAAAATATGCCGCAAATAGAGGCTAATAGAGAAAGATATAATCTTTCGTAAATTATTGAAGAGAGAAAAGACAGCCTTACTTTCGTAGAAGAATTTAGATCTATTATATTAAATACGTATTCATTACCGTATCTGAGTTAAGTGATTGGCAATGCAAATATTTTTCTTTAAAAATGCTTGATTCTAAAATACACCGTACCACCAACAGGCGTCCTAGACATATTCGGGTTCGAGGACTTCGGCCCGAACAACAGCTTCGAGCAACTCTGCATCAACTACGCGAACGAACACCTACAATACTACTTCAACCAGCACGTGTTCAAGTACGAGCAGGAAGAGTATCGGCGCGAGGGCATCCGCTGGACGGACATCGGCTTCTCTGACAACACCGGGTGTCTGCACCTTATCCAGGGCAAGCCGGGCGGGCTGCTGTGCCTGCTCGACGACCAGTGCAAGTATGACGTCACTCCATACGTACACCTATGGACATACACTGAGCTACACTCCGGTGCGAGGCATCCGTTGGACGTATAACGTCACTCCACATATACAAATAGATCGCATAAAATTCACTACTCTATAGAAAGAGACAAAAACAACCAAACATAGACTAACTATGCACTGCCATATTGCTTCGTCTCACACTTATATGCCCAGTTTTACTTTACAGTTGGGTTAGGGAACGCGAGGTCCATTTTCTATGCCTATGACAAGAAAAACGCACCTCACCATACTTTCATTTCTTGGTCATGGATTTGATCCGACCGACTTGCGACTTAATGCGAGCAAAACGGTTTATCATCGCTCATGCCAGAGGCAGACTTGTGTGTTGTTTAGTGACGCGTCAGAAACCCCACCATCATTCTGGCGTCACATCTGACATCATTGACATTCCACAATTGACTCCATTGTATGTTGGTGCTTCTGTTCCAGCTTTCCTTGGGCTACCAACGAGACGCTATTACAAAAGTTTAACTCGGTCCATGAAGACAACCCTTTCTACGAGAAACCTCAGAGGCGAGAGCCGGCTTTCGTAGTGCGGCATTACGCAGGCAGAGTCAAATATCAGGTACGAAACCGCTAATTTATTTTCCTATTTGAATTGCTTATTTTTCTAAGAACAAAACTTTGTACTTATATAAACGAAATATACCAGAATAATCTAACGGCTGTGCTGTATGTTTAAAAAAATCGCTTTCCATTTTATTTTCAGTATTCAATTTACAACTTTTGCCTTTGTAGCTCATATATAGATTAATTATATATTTCTTACGAACACACAATGAATGGCGAAATATTATTATGTAATAGCTCCACTCACCGCGCTTAAATTAACGTCGAAATTTTCGGCGCTAAAAGCGTGGTTTTACGCTCCTACACATACTTATCGTCCCCCAAAACAACTTCAATGTGTGTTGAAAAACTGACAGGCAAGCTGTTGTCACGCAGCTCGATAGTTCGTTACGATAGCCACTTATAACTTTCCACACATGCGTTTATCGCATAGAGTTATAAGAATAGTGGGGAAGGCGGCTCTAAAAGTGTCCGTCTAGTAGAAAAAGAAAGAAGATGAGAGACCGCTAGCTATCTCTCTCTCCGCATGGCATCCAACGGCATCACATCGAAATAGTAAGTTGCTTACGGTTGCCAATGCGCATGCGCGATTAGAGAGAGAAAGCTAGAGGTGTCTCATCTTCTTTCTCTTTCTATTAGAGGGACACTTCCACTTGTAGTAGAGTCTATATCTCCCCTACTCTATTCTTATACCTCTATGGTTTATCGCCATCTTAGCTTTGTGGCGATAGACGCAGGTGTGGGGGAAACATAAAACGACAATTTATCTTATATAAAATAATACAGGTTACGGTGATGCGTGAGAAGAATTTGGACCTTATGCGGCAGGACATAGTGAGCGTTCTCAAGAACTCGTCGCTCGCGTTCGTTCGCGAACTCGTCGGCGTTGATCCAGTTGCTGTATTCCGCTGGGCCATTGTGCGCGCATTCTTTAGGTAAGCTATACATATAATAAAATGGTAGGAAAGTGAAAACTGTACATTGAATATTTTTTTTAAAAGAATACTTGGGGTGTGATCTACAATCGATACCGAAGCCAAAAATATAGTTTTTGTCTGTATGTATGTCCGGGACAAACTCGTAAAGTACTGCATAGATTTACTTCTACAAATTTGGCACGAATATGATTAAGAAGTCGGGTCAACATATAGGCTACATGTTATCACGCTATCACCTAAGGGGAACGAACCTTTATTTCTAACTAACTCCACGCGTACGAAGTCGCGGGCGGCCGCTACTTTATAATAATAAATGGTTTATTTATTTATTTCTTTTAGCATCGGTGCTTAAAATGACAGAGGTATGCTCCGTTGGTTCGGACATATGGAAACAATATCTAATGTGAGAATGACGAAACAGATATATGACGCGATAGGGAGGAGCTCGATGGCGCAGGTAGTTTAAAGCGACTTTCGCAATGGTCAGTCATTGGATGGGTCACCAAAAACTTATTATCTCGACATTCTCTGTGCTTCAGAAGGCACGTTAAGCAGTTAGTCCCGGCTGCATCTGCAGTCGTTAGCACCCACCAACCCTCACTGGGTCCGCGTGGTGGGTCATGGCCCAATCTCCTTATTCCATCCATAGGGAAGGCCTTTGGCCCAGCAGAGTGGACATTAATAGACTGATGATGATTAGGGAATAATTTTAAAGCCTAGGAAGTCCAAGACTCAGCTATCACGATGAACTTGATCGTATTTTAAAGGTTGGTGATGTCAGAAGCAGTAAAAACCAGCGGGCGAGTAGGAAAAGAGTAATGAATGTGAATAAAGCGAAAATGTGACCATGTCTTATGGTGCTCTATTCTCTCTGGCTACCCCACCCGGGACTCGGCGTGAAGATATAAATACAAAGATATATATTTCTTTTCATTAAGACAAGATTTTAGTATCTGCACTAGGCCTCAGCCTGTATTTCAGAAGACCAGTACTCTGTTGATGTTTCTGGCGATGACCAGTGTTGGGCAAAATGTTTTCTAATTACTCATTAGAAACTACGATAGCATAATTATGATTAACCATCAAATAAAACAATGCTAAAGAGTTATTAACCATTTTGATTAATTACTAATAAAGACCATTACATGATTACTCTTAGTGTAATTTTAACACGAGACCATCCCTTTTAAAGACCGCATTACTCAAATGTTTCATGGCGAAATCGCCAAAGTTGTGTAGAGTGCGGGGAGGGTAGACAGCGTTTTGATTGGCCGCGTTAGTGTGACGTCACGTTCGGATGACAAATTCATTGCGAACTTGTATCTTGACGTTTGGGGGCGCGTCATACGTATTACTTAAGCTTTTCTAAAGCGGGTGTCCGTATAAGCGGTCTCTAGTGGCTTGATGCATTTCAATAGTTTTTACTCATTTTTTGTCAAAGTGGCCAATAATATGTTACGTCGAAGTGTGATAGTTATCAATTATCGCGATATTCGTAGGGGTTACTTCGCTTTCTTGGACGCGGGGCGAAGGCATCGCGTGAACCGAGCGGATGGCGCTACTCGACTCCCTCGAGCTTCCATACATGCGCCTAACGACTCCATTATCAGGTAAATTAGAACACTAACCTTATAAACTGTACCTCACACTAGCGAACTAACCTACAAAAATCGCCGCGAAGTCTTAACACACATAAAAACGTCGCATCGAAAAGCGTTTGCTTTAGTAATTATGTTTTTTTCTTCTTCTAGGACTGTGTAATTCTTCTTATAATATAATGGCTTGCTTTCTGAGTTATCTATCGCGTTAAGCGGTTTGCCATTACATGTAAGGGAATTGCTGAAATCTGAATCGAAAAAGAACCTTCCATTTTAGGAATTCCATTGAAAAAATCTATTAATTATACAAAAAAGGGTTTGTATTTATTTTTTGGTGATCATTTAATATTTTTTTTGAAGATCATTTAAATATTTTCCTAAAAAAGGAATTTCACTAGTATATTTTTTAATAAGTTACCCAAGGTATGGATTTTGATGAAGTGTAATGAATAAATTTGATAATAATTATATATTTGTAATCGTAACGCCAATTTGTGCGGCTTACCATCATCTTCAATGCAACGAATGAAAGCTCAGATTTTGGCGCTTTTATGTGTGTTAGCTCTTATCTCGTGAATGTTAAGTGGATAAATGTATGTTAAAAAATAATGTAGATTATCATATAAATGGATTAGATCCAAGATGACAGTGAAAGTGCTCTAACAGGGGGAACTGACCTTTAAGAACTCAAAATCACAAAAGATTTCCATGTGATGAATATTTTATACCCAGTAGTTATATGATGTGGAATATATTTTTGAATAAAATATACTGAGGATTGAACTTAAGTTTAATGGAATGCCGGAAAATAATAAAGTTGATGAAAAAAAAATGCCTGCGGGCTCTGCTTAAAAAGCTCGGTTTTCAATTTTTTTTTATCACATGCACTACATAAGTTTTGCTTTTACTCTTGTTTTAAAAAAAAAACACTTAATATCTGATTAAACCGCGCTATTTAATTAGACCTGTGTGTTATGTCAACATCTTAAATTTGTAACATGATAGAGGCATGAATGATACAAAATTTACATGAATGAATTTAACACTACATGCGGCCCCTTTGCGTACTTCCCACGCGTACGTGAGACTTCAATCTGAATTAAATACTTTCAAGTATCAAACTTTATGAAGTGTTTGTTGACACTAATGTTTACAGGAGCGAGCTTTACAAGAAATCGCGATAAGTTAATCGCAGTACGAGTGTGCACTTAGCCGATAAAATAGGTCTTATCTTCAAAACGAAAATATTAATCGTAACGATTGTTGTAAAAATTCAAAACAGATTTTACATTGTTAATAGTAATCTTGTAACTTCGATAAACAGAGCTCAGACTTGTGATTATAATTATAATATATTATATATTATAATATAGATATATAATATAGATTATAGGGAACTTGCATTGTGGCCGTAATGTTTGATGAAAACTATATATTTATAAGAGCTTGTGCCATTATAGTAATGTGACATAATGAATTGTATCTTGTTGCTCAGCCAACTGGTGACAGTATCGTCAATCAATCTCGCAATCAACCGCATTGCGTAAGTCACCCATATGGATGCTTTATATTAATTATGCACTCACGCATGGCCCTCGATGTTAATTTATGATTTCCTTTTACTTTAATCACCTTCGGTTGCAATATTACGCATACCATTAGGCTGTGATTAGACTTTTGAATAAACCACTAATGTCAATCTAATACGTACTAAACGCAGCCTCGGAAACTTTCCGTCTAACTAGTTTCTTACTATCGGTGCCGTCACCCTCCTAATCGAACTAAGGCACAGCCCTGGCACAAGAGAAGGCATGCATCACTGTACCTACTGTTAATTTTTTGTTGATTTTATTTGACCCTTGTTTCGTTTTGGTCGTTTTCGTTGGGGTAGGACGCCGCAAAGGGGTACGAGCAAGGCGCGCGAGACACCGACTCGCACGTCGAACGATAGTAGGCAGCGATCGGAGGTGTCCACGAGGGGGGGGAAACATTACAGGAGCGCGGAGACGCGCGTGCGCCGCCCCGAGCGAGACCGCGAGAGGGAGAGAGACGAACGACTCGACGACAACGCCATCATGCAGCGGGCCAGCCAGATCGTTATGTACGTCCGACTCGGCCATCTCATCAAACAACTCTGCGGTCGCAAAGCTCATTCACACTCGGTTGAATCGGGAATTATAACGATTTGTGATTTAAACATGATTCGTATTTAGTATCGTTGCAGTATTCAGTATTTCCTAGCAATCATTCTGTGAATTGTGAAAAATAATAAAAGGAATTATGATTTTTTATTTAACTATTATAAAAATTACGATACGTATGCGACCAACGCAAGTGTGAATGAGCCGGCTTGTAAAAGTTCCCGTGAAAACTTGAATCATTGCAGGAGGTTGTGTCTTGTAAACTCAAAAGACAATTTTCTTTACAGATGCAATTACACCCTTTTTAATTGCCAGTATTATAAAGTAATTTTATTATGATCTCCACGGGAAATATTTTGTTTGATGAATCTGCGTGTTTCGGTTTGGGAGTCTTTTCTGTGTCACTGGTGACGGCTGTGGGTCTTAATTTTCCTTGTGTTTTCGCACTAAGTTTCTTTGTTGTGTTTATTGGTATATTAGTATAAATGGGCTGTGAGATATTTCTAAAGTATTTATTGTTTTATACAAATAAGTAAGTGCCGCATTGGATCATTTCTAGCTGGAACGCTTTTATTGCAGTTTTGTAATATATATTATGATAATATTATAGTTTATTATACATTTTACCTATTGAATTGCCTAATTCAGCAATCGCTGTAGTCAATCTCTTCAAATTCGAATTCATTAAAAGTGGTATAAGCATGTTTTCTGTTGTACCTAAATAAGTACATGCACTCAAATCACGTAGCAGATACTATTATTTCGGTGGTCGGTGGTCTTGCACTAAAGAGTTTGCATTTTCATTCTTACTTATAACATTATATAAAAATATATCGATCGAAACATATAAGTACATGTCATATTCTTTCAAAAGTCGGTTAATCATATCCTCTCATTTTTTAAGCGCGATGGAGATTCCTTCCTATTGTTATTGCGCATCTGTTGGGCGATTCTGTAAAATAAATCTCCTTATCGAGTTTCGATAGTGCCTAATTTAGACATAAATTATACCTCGAAATGCCGCAATTATTTGTTAAAGCAGCCAGACATTTTTCAATCGATTAAATAGGAATTATCAAAATCCGATAGTTAGATTTTAAAGTTACAAAATCGACGTATAAAAAAGTTTAAAGAAGAAGAAAAAATGCAAGCTCCCAGCAAACATCAACGAGCGTTCAGTTTAGTACAATAAAACGGTGTCTATAGGAAGAACAAATCGTTCCGTCCGCGCGAGCGAGCGAAGAAAGGCCTCAAGAACTTGCAGAGCGTTAAAACTTTAGCGGGGCGTACAGCCGCGCCTACTGGCAAGCGGAAACAGCCTCTTACAGTCGCCGCTCAGTTCCAGCATTCGCTCGCTGCTCTAATGGAGACGCTGAATCAAGCCAACCCTTTTTTCATAAGGTAACGTGAACTAAAATCTGCACAAATATGCTATGTCTATCTGTAGCTTATCCAAATAACGTGCAGCGAACATGCGTCGCCGCATAATACAATAAAATTTCAGCAGGACTTCTGCGCTCAAACAGTAGTATGTTTTTTTTTTCAAAATCAAGTTGTGTGATATTTTATCAAAGTTTAAACCGTGGGGTATAATTATAATAAACTGGACTCCAGACAACAATTTTATTAAATCCCTAACTAAGCATAAATCGTATTATAACTATGGCTTCGTCACCATGCAGCCATGGAATTATCTCCATATAATTTATCTCATTAAAGACATTCAAACTATCCATAAATTAAGCGTAAAACAAAACTCTGTATGAATCAAAACACTCTTCATAATCTCCCAACAGGTGCATAAAGTCGAACGGTGACAAAATTCCTAATGTGTTTGACGAAGAGACGGTGCAACGACAGTTACGATACACCGGCATGTTGGAAACTGTGCGAATCAGACAAGCGGGATACAATGTTCGCCTCACGTATGAAGAGTTCATACAGCTGTATAGAATACTGCTGCCTAAAGGGCTGCTCAGCTCGCAGACGGATGTGAGGCACTTCCTCGCCACGCTGAACCTGGACCGGGATAACTATCAACTTGGTAAGTCACTTTTCTGGTCACAATTCAGTGATATAAATTAGCATTTTACTCTTTTTACGGAAACGTTTCGGTAAATGGACTTTTCGAATGACGCGAGAGCTGAGATGAAGTTACCACGGCGAATGACCACTCAAGTACTGCAATTTTCCATCCTCGTCATTTCTGATAAAAAAAGCTCTCCACAAACTCGTTTTCGTGAAAAGAGAACCCTATTTCAATATTTCACTTTCAAATATCTTTACAGAGATAAGATTGAGATTTGATTGATTGTGATAAGATTTTTGAAAATAAAATCTGTGAACAATCGACCCTAATAAATAAGGCGTATAGTAAGGATCTAATTGTTTAACAGAAACACCAATTATGTTACCTCTTAATTTGATCATTGAAGAATATTCGCGAACTATAAGCAATATATAATGACGTAAGCTAGGTAAATAATAACTCACCTGTTTTATTCTCGCTCAAATACACACAATGAATTTTAACTTCACATCCTTCACGATCTACACTTTTGCTCAATTCAATGAACCTCGTTAGGTGCTACAAAGATCTTCATGCGCGAGAGCGAGCAGACGAAACTGGAATACCGGTTGCACCAGCAGATCATGGCGTCGATCATCACCATCCAGCGCTGGTTCCGCGCCGTGCTCGAACGACGCCGCTTCTTGGCGCTGCGTCGAGCTTCGCTCGTCATACAGTCGTACTGCAGGTAATTGTTAGGTTTCAATGTCGTGGCGTAATGACGGCTTTCTGGAATGTCGGGTGCCAGGTGGTAGCACTGAGACGATAGGTGTATTCATCCATCAAATCGTGTATGCTTTCATAGTCTATGGATCAATTTAAATGCTCGTTCGATTATTTTTCACAACAAACTTCACACAAAAGCTCTCATGTCACAATGGCGCCAACTGATAGCGTAAATTTTCATAAACACCCTCTTTGGAAAATACACTTTGGACAGTTACGTTTTCACCACACAGTTACTAAACACGTGTTATATTAAGCACACAATAAGCGTCCCCACACTTTTGTTGCAATTTAATAGGTTTAAAGCTAGTGACCCGGAGTCGCTTAAGATTTGAACCTTACAATAAGTAAATCAAATCTACATAGATAGGACAGTAACGAATGCTTTTATATAGCTTCTGCTGACCCTCGCAGCTTGCATACGCCGCCTCTTGCAACCTGCCGCCCCGGGTCATAGCCCTATTGTCCTTGGGTAAATATGCCCCTGAATCTAAAATAGGTTGTTTAGTTCGCGAACAAACAGTTAGAAAATTTTATGGAATACGAACTGCGTTAAAAAGTGGTTCCACGCAAACTGCGATCAAGTGGGCGGGGCGAAAAATAATGCGATCAACACGCCTATCATGGGATTGGTTGGGATTTCTGTTCAACATACCGACCCAATGGTGTCGATTCTGGCATGGTTCTCTAAACTTAAAACTAAGTTTAACAACAGTCTCTACTTTTTATTCTGTATAGAGCGTGGCAAGAATACACTGTTGGCAAATTTAAGTTTAGGTAGTTAGTAATGGATAGCCGAATTCATTAGCAGATATTTGATTCGTCAAATTATTTTGTTTGTCTGTGTGCGGGTCGCGTTAGTATTGAAGTTTACTTGTATGTATGAGTTTAAAACCATGTTTTATCGAGAGAGTAACTCTTCATATCGTTTCTAATTCGGTGTTCGCAAACGACAAAGACTTGTCCAATTAGTTCGCACAGACGAACTACGCTAATTAATCCCCATCTCTCGCGCGTTAATTAGTTAGTAAGAGCGTCTTGTATTTGTGAATAGAGTGGCTTCTAATACAAGTTTTAATGTCACCTGATCTTAGACAATACAGATTTTTACCAAGTCATTTGTATGCAGGCAATGGCTAGTGATACGTCTCGAGGCGGCAGTCAAACTGCAATCATGGTTCAGAGGTAGCCGAGTGAGACAATGGTATCAGAGGCTAAAGAAGGGTGCGATAGCATTCCAAGCAGCGGCTCGCGGCTATCTGCTACGGAAAACTCTGCCTTCGCTGCGATGCCAGCCGCGACTAAACTCGCAAAAAGACGTGAGTAATATAATTTCCTACAGTTACCTACTACACTGAGGCTTTAGTACTTCACTCACATAGAACACTTACGGAAATGACTAGGAACATATCTTGTCCTATTGTAGCAATGCAATGTTTCATGAAGCTCTTTCAACTGATTCTTTTACCTTGGTTCAACGTAAAATCTCTCAACGAAAGTAAGTATAGTCACTTTTTAAGCAATTATGGTATTCCTTGATGGTACTAAGGCATGCCTAAATTAATGTTGTTTGTTGTTTATTCCAAATTAATTTAGTTTGGTTTATTTTTATTACTGACAATTTGAATTGTCGAAAAACCTAAAGGGATCCTGATTCCATAATTATAACAGGTATTTCGAGTCTTAATATACTCATTAAAACAGAGACTCAAGCACGAATTTACACAGCTCTGTAATCGCATCGTCAGAGTTTTATGAAAACTAAGCAGCGTCCTTACGGGATATAAGAACAAACTGGCACCTTCCATATAAAATTTGATGATGACGAAACGATTACGGAGCTGTTAAAATTCGTGCTGGGGGCTCAGGATAATTATTATGAAAGTGAATAGCGATTTTCTTCGGTCTAGTTTATACAATGCACCTGTCAAGATAAACAAAATATTCTTCATGTTTTATTAAGAATGAAACCCATCCAGCCACTAAAATAAGAAATCGCCATTAGAGTAGCTTAACATTTGTCACTAATAATCTTATAATCGGTACTAATAACGTCACTGAAAGTGTTGTGAACACACTTGTGTATACAAAGCGTTATGTGTTTGTGTTGACAGCATGACAGTAAGCTGACGTATAGGGCTAAAGTCCCGGTAGAGACGGAGGCGGACGTGCTAAGCCTCGAACAAATCAAGAGCATCATTGGTTTGCATGTGTAAGTAACGTGTATACTATCATTTTGTCTATTGTTCTAGTTCAGTATTTGTGAATGTGCGACAGGTTCATCTGATTTGTTTTTAGCCCCACATCCTTGCGCACACGATAGCGCATGTTCATTTTTACAGTTTGTCTAAAATGACATACAGAATATGACGTTCACAAAGACTGCGGCGTTAGTTCCAATTTTCGCCACATTCATAAAGGTCCTTGTCGGACTATTTATAAACATATTTAGCAACTACCTACATTTTTCAACACCCTTAAATATGGTTCCATCTATCCATATCAAGCGTATACTAGCTGCGTTCGCTAGAGTGAGACCGGTACCCGTTCGTTAGAAAAAGGCAGATAATCGCTTGCTGATCCGCATCCAATATGTACGATACGATTCAAACTAAATAGCAAGTCGCCGCAGATTAAACGAAATTTAGTAGGACGACTTGGCCCGCGTGTGATGACACTGAACTGAAACCTGAGTAAAGTTGCACTCGTCGCTAACTTCACAACGCACTTCAATGTTTAGATCACACTTTACGCTAAATCGTTCTCGGTCCAAATAAGAATGCTTATCTTCTTAATGTGGTTAATTCATGAGATGATTATAACACAATGCAAATGAAACTTTTACTGTAGAATTTGGTGGTCATCTTAGATGCGGGGCCTTGTTTGATCTTTATAAATAAAAACATTTTTTTAATGTGTTTCTATTATTTCAGACGAGATCTAGATTTACACAACTCAGAAAAGACAAGGCAACTAAGGCCGACGCAATCTCTTCCAATTTCAAGGTCAGTTGTTTCAATTTGACACGATCGCATTGACGTATCTAATCCTCGCGTAACAAGGCAGCTAATGCTTAGAATAATTACTCATTTGGTAATAAAACGAAATAATGTTTTATTGCAGCTTGGAGAAGAAAGTAGAGGATATCCTATTAGAAATAACGGATAAGGATTCGTATGGCAAAAGGAAACTTTATAAAACGCCAAATGTTAACGAGTTATCATTAAAGCAAGCAGGCTCAAGGTATCGACTAACAGTAAATAGTAGTGTTTCTTGCTTTCCATCCATACTAACAAAATGATTTACAAATATTAACACATCATCTGTTATACTGAAAACTTCTTGTAAAACCTCCTCAATAACGTGGGTTTGCCTAAATCATTGTTGGAAAAAAATTTGGTGGATTCCTAGCTTTTTGCTTGCAGTATTATAACACGACTGCCTTTTCCAGAATTAACTTTTCATTATTGCGTGTTTTAAATTTCCTTATCTTCATCCAACGAATTAGAAATAATATGGAATATGATCTGCGCTGTGGTTCCATGCAAATTTATATGGAGTGCGCGGGGCGAAAAAACTGCGATCAACACGCCGATCATGGGATTGATTGGGATTTCCGTTTAACATTATCTTACCTAATGAACGGATAGCCAAATCATTTGCAGATAATTAGTTTGTTAAAGTATTTTGTTTAATCTGTGTGCGTGTCGCGTTAGTATTGAAGTTTAGTTGTATGAGTTTTGAAACCTTGTTCTAGCGGCCTTTGTTAGACAGTAACGCTTCTATATAATTTCTTATTCGTTGGCTTAATTACAATTTTATTCCAAAAATTATGGTATATTACGGTATTTCAGCGTCAATCAGCAAGATACGAGCGACGGCACTGCCGCGGACATTTGGTGCGCGAACACGAACAAATATCCGCAGAGTGGAATCGCTCTACCCAAGAAAATCACCACGGAGGATCTAGCCAACGAATGGATCTGGCTAAGGATAGACCAAAGCTACCTTCAGGAGAAAAGCAAAGTAATCAAGTTTTTTATTTATTTTTAAGCATTTAACTGCTGATTTTTTTCTAGTAAACTTTTCTTTATATTTAAACATCAAGCAACTAAATGCTTAAACATAAAAAAACATAACTATAATTGCTATTTCTTCTTTCAAATGTTCAATACTTGTAAAGGTATTTCATTTGACATTGTGCTACAATGCGAAGAGATGGCGCTGCCTTGCAGCCTAAGCCTACATAAAGTTCGACACGGCCATCAGGGCCGCGGTAGCATAATGGTCAGTGCATTCGCCCGGATAGCGAAGGGTGCGGGTTCGAGTCCCGTCTGCTGCCGGGTCCGCGTGGATTTTTTTCTAATAAACTTTTCTTTAGAACAAAGTAATAGTTAAAATTATTATGCACTTTATCTTGACTTTAATATAATTGTTAAATAAATTAAACTATTATCATATGTTAAATTATCAATCAATTTTCAGTACAAAAGTAAACCACCCTTATTGACCACAGCTTAAGATACGCTTACACTCAGTATAGACTAAATCATTTTCTAGAGCATTATAATATAATGTAACAAATGCCCAGTTACCTAAAGCATTTTCATGTATTTTAACCCTTTTGCCTATTTCTATTAATTCTCGGACGCTGTGTTCAGCGCTACATTCTTGCTGTGTGTCTTTCTTCGATTAAATGTAACGCCAAAACCAGCCATCAGCTTGTAACAAAATTAGATAATAAATTTAAAAAAAAATAGTTTAATTTCTTTTACAAAGAAAAACGGTAGTCTATACCCACCAACACACTTCGAATATCACTCTTATTTTTGCGTAATAAAGTCAATTTTATTAACATAACTCTCTAACATTTTCTTGATGATATGTAGGTTTCTCTTGATCAATTCCTTTCCTTGTTACAAAATAGATAGCAAATTGCGGTTAACATCTTTATAACTGACAGTTAGTTGTAGTAATTTTTCTAGTTTTGTAAATAGGATACTTCTGTTATTGATAATGATAGAGTGATACAACTATAAATATAAAAGGAAACTTTTAATGACAATGTAAGTTAACATCTTTCTGATTACACATTTCCATACATTCTTTTAGATACGAGAGAAGGGCTTGGAAGATTTAGTGGAAACAATATCTGGCGAAGAGTACCTGAAAGATATATCGACTGGACTGGGCAGATGGAGTCCGGGAGAAAATAACTCTGACAGTAACAGGAGTAATAGTGACTCAAGGTGTGTAATAAATTTATTCATCCAAGCAATTTATTTCGTGTGCAGCAAACTAGAAATCAACGCTTTAAAAATTATTAAAGAAATACTGCAGGCTACACAGTAATATAATCTTTATTTTATTTTTTTGTATTTAAAATATTTGATGCGTAACATCCCATCTATTGTGGCTGGTGTGAAAGCGGCTGTTTAGTTGTTTACCACTCTAGCAATAGCAAAAATAAACAGCTTATGAGTTTATGCCCTGTAATTTGATTATAATTTCCGAAGGTCATTCGTACTCAGAGATACTGCAGCAAGTAAAAAGAATGACTATGTTTCTATTACCAACATAAGACTATTAATATTCCCAATGCTGGGGCAGATGGTTTTCCTAAAGATGGCAAAGGTTGAATGGACCATACATGATCCATCACGCGGACCTAGTGCATATTAGGGGGTGCTTACGACTGCAATTGCAGCCAGGAGTAACGGCTTACCGTAGCTTTTGAAGCACAGAGGAGCCCGAAAGATAATGTGTTTTTGATCACCTATCCTGGTATATGACTGGCCATTGCGAAAGTTATTTAATTATCACGCCTTATGAAGCCTTTTAAAAATCTATTTTTTGTCCTTTTATATTAATTTCTTTTTATTAATTTATTAAAAAAAAGTTGCTATGTTCCTCCTCCACGAGGCTGACGCCCTTTTATAATTTCATGTTTACTTTTTGTCAGACGCAGCTCCCCGCCGATGTATACTCGCAGCGTGTCCAGCAGTACGCTGGAATCACCGCGCGCGCTGCACAGCCTGCCCCCAGTGCGCCGAGCGCGACACCACGAGCCCCCGCCCCCCACCACCACCACCACGCCCCCGCATCTAGCCCGCACCGGTCAGTGTCCCACACACTCAGCGTGTCCGGCAGTACGTTGCACAGTCTGCCCCCAGTTCGCCGAGCGCGACACCACGAGCCCCCGCCCCCCACCACCACCACCACCACCACGCCCCCGCATCTAGCCCGCACCGGTCAGTGTCCCACACACTCAGCGTGTCCGGCAGTACGTTGCACAGTCTGCCCCCAGTTCGCCGAGCGCGACACCACGAGACCCCGCCCCCCACCACCACCACCACGCCCCCGCATCTAGCCCGCACCGGTCAGTGTCCCACACACTCAGCGTGTCCGGCAGTACGTTGCACAGTCTGCCCCCAGTTCGCCGAGCGCGACACCACGAGACCCCGCCCCCCACCACCACCACCACGCCCCCGTATCTAGCCCGCACCGGTCAGTGTCCCACACACGCAGCGCGTCCGGCAGTACGCTGCACAGCATGCCCCCAGTGCGCCGAGCGCGACACCACGAGCCCCCGCCCCCCACCACCACCACCACGCCCCCGCATCTAGCCCGCACCGGTCAGTGTCCCATACACGCAGCGCGTCCGGCAGTACGCTGCACAGCCTGCCCCCAGTGCGCCGAGCGCGACACCACGAGCCCCCGCCCCCCACCACCACCACCACGCCCCCGCATCTAGCCCGCACCGGTCAGTGTCCAACACACGCAGCGCGTCCGGCAGTACGCTGCACAGCCTGCCCCCAGTGCGCCGAGCGCGACACCACGAGAATGTTTTAATGAAACTTCGTGGGACTGTTGGGTTACGTATATAGAGTATCTCTGATTTTTTTCGGATTTTTTAAAATGATTTAAAATAAAAAAATGTTTTTTTTTTGTTATACTTTAAGTAATTTCCTCCTTTTGGGTACTAAATAGTTATTCTTTTTAAAAACGCATACAGAGTAAGTAAATCAACTAATAAGCACTACTAAAAAAACGTAAAAACAGAAGACGTGCGGCCGGGAGCAATGACCGCTCCCGCCGTTGAGTACCTGTACCTACCTACCTATGCGCGGTGCAAAGCGCAGTGAGCGAGCGCAGTCTCAAGTCTATCCACCGCGCGTGCGTATCTTTTAAATTTGTGACAAGACAAGATTTGCAAATTGTACGAGCAAGCGCGTACATCGTCACATCAGCACATTTCGTTGACCTAAATTACCTATTCACAATTAACTTTATTGCACAAAATCAGTTCGCAATCATCAACTCATCAAGTCACGCGTACTCATAGCAATTATTATTTTATAGTTAATTTTAGTCCTTTCTCCAAATATACAGTTTTATACTACAGTATCAGTTTATCATTTATTAGTTCCAACCCGAACATTGGTCCTTCGAGCTAAACGGGATAGCGGGACCAGGAACACCGTGAGTGAACTTTGAAACGTGTCAGTGTTTCCGCTTACCAATACAAAATAACTTAGTGTATTCACTGAGTACCTATACTCACTGTGTCAAATCAAGTGGCGTAGTGAATTATCAAGAAATACCTTGCTGTGCTATCAAGACGCACAGCAATCTTGCAGCAAGGATCCAGCAGCGCAGTACGTGGCTACCCTGAGTGGCAAAGTCATCCAATCAAGTAAGACCTGTCCATTTATTTCAAGTTAGCCATGTCGTCTGTTAGCGATGTTATAACCAACCAACAGCAAATAGCAGGAGCAATCGAGACTCTATATACCAACTTCAAGAAGGATAGTTCCAGTAGGAAAACTCCAGAATATCTGAAGCGTAAGATAGACATTCTCGATAGCTATTGGTTAGAATACGATACAAATTATAAAAAATTGATAGCTAGTGAGTTAGATGTGTCAACGAGAGATTACATCGATCAGGATTTGGAGAGAGTGAAAGAGAGGTATGGTAATATCAGGGCCCATCTCCAAAATTATCAACCTGTAGCAGAGGATAGGCCCAAGACGCCTATCTTAAAACCCCCTACCTTTTTGCCTCAATCAGGTGATGCTTCCAAGTTCGAGGGTGGGAATCCATCCCACCAATCAAGAATTACAGTAAGTAGGACGGAAGAAATGTTGAGAAAGCAACAAAGTAATTTTAGGGCTTTTCATAGAACGGTTCAAGGCATTAATTTAGATTCCATTTCCGAAAAATGGGAGTTTGAAGATTTGCTTCGCACTGTTCAGTCTCGGTGGGGTGCAATAGACTCGTTACACTGGGATCTGGACAGCGAGTTAAATGGCTCTAATCAGGATTATGAGCAAACATTTTCAGCGTACGAGCGTAAGTACGACGCAATCAAGAAGGCTGTAAACAAGAAGATGTGGTCAGTAGCGCATATTGAAAACACTACTCCTAGAATGGAAATTCCGATTTTTACAGGTAATTATAATTACTGGGTGTCTTTTAAAGACCTTTTTACGGAAACGATACACCGTAACCCGTCGATGTCCAATGCTCAGAAGATGCAATATTTAAAATCAAAAGTTAAAGGTGAAGCAGAAAAATTAATACAACATCTTCATGTGAGCTCCGAGAACTACGAAGTTTGCTGGGACATATTGAACCAACGCTATAACAACGTAAGGTTGATATTCACTTCGCAAATGCATACGTTAATGAATATTCCCTCAATGCAACAGCCATCAGTCGCTGTTCTAAAAAGAATGCATGACACAACTAAGGAGTGTCTCAATGCAATAAAAAATTTAGGGGTTGATATCAGTACGTGGGACCCCATTATTGTATATCTTTTAACGCAAAAATTAGATGCGGAGTCTTATACGGACTATATTGAGTCTGTAAAGAACCCAAGAGATTTGCCAATCTTAAAGGAGCTATTACAATTTTTAGAATTAAAATTTACTACTCTAGAGGCATCTCGCAGAAAGCAAGACAATTCTGTACAAAAATATCAAGTAGCAACAAAAATGACCAATAATAATCAGAAACCTAATTTTACTACAAAAGTGCATTTTCATCAAGTAGCAAAATTATGACGAAATCGGCGCCTTCGACTAGCAGCAAGAAAGTCGTTTCAGCAAAATGTTCATTGTGCAACAATAATGAACATGGTATTTATTTTTGTAAAAACTTTTTAGACATGACGCCATACAACCGACTTAAGACTGTTACCAAGCTCAGTCTGTGCCCCAATTGTCTTTTTAATCATCGTGGCCAGGAATGTAAGTCCGAAAGATGTTGTCGTGAATGTAAGAAAGATCACAACAGTTTGTTGCATGATGCATTTACGCAATCTGCCCGCCCAACGATAAGCAGCGAAACACCAATGCGCGGGGCGACTGCGCTCAATAGCACAAATGCAAACGACGCAAATCAAGTGCGAAGTAGTTCACACGTGTCGCTTCAGAGCGACTCCGTTGAAGTTCTGTTGCCTACCGCTATGATCAAGATCCAAGCAATAGACTGTTCTTATTATGTTATGCGTGCCCTCTTAGATCAAGGTTCCCAAACATCACTTATAACCGAGAGTGCAGCGCAGCTTTTAAGATTACCTAGAAAAAAATGTATTGGAGTTATTTCCGGAATCGGCGATAAAGAAAGCAGTGGAAAAGGGATGATTAATATCAAATGTAGGTCAATGATAAACGACTTTTCGTTCGCAACTGATGCTTTGATCATGAGGCAGCTTATCAAGAACCTGCCAAGTCAATCGTTTAATTGTCCTGATTGGTCATACCTGGATCAAATTAAATTAGCCGATCCTAAGTTTTACACTAGTCGCCCCGTTGACCTATTGTTAGGGGCCGACGTATATTCTATGATTTTAATGGATGGTATATGTAGATCTAATTCAGTTTTACCCACCGCCCAACAAACTCAACTTGGGTGGATTTTGAGTGGTAACGCTAGGACCTTCCAATGCAATGTAGTCCTTCATAATCAAGACATGGAGGATATTCAAAACTTTTGGCAAATAGAAGAAATTTCCGAGGAATCCCAACTATCAACTGAAGATGAGCAATGCATAAAGTTTTATCAATCTACTACAAGAAGACGGGAAGATGGTCGCTATGAAGTGAGACTTCCACTAAAATTCAACTATCAAGAAAAATTAGGTCATTCTAAGTCGAAGGCCACAGCACAATTTAATAAATTAGAAAATAAATTTACAAGAAACGCTGAATTCGCAAACGATTATAAGTCATTCATAAACGAGTACTTATCGCTCGGTCATATGATACCGGCTAGCTCCGATTGCAAGTTAAAGTGTTATTTACCTCATCACGGCGTCATACGAGCAGATTCCAGTACTACTAAGCTTCGCGTAGTTTTTAATGCTTCCGAAAAAACTTCATCAGGGTGCAGCTTAAATGATACCATGTTCAGGGGCCCAAATTTACAGCAAGATCTACAAAATCTCCTTATCAAGTGGAGACAACATCAATTTGCATTTACGGCTGACTTAGAAAAGATGTTTCGACAAATTTGGCTCAACAAACAAGATCAAAATTTACAGTGTATTATTTGGAGGGATAATAAAAATTCAAATATCAAGGAATATAGTCTTACTACGGTGACTTACGGTACAAAGGCGGCGCCGTTCCTCGCCATGATGACGCTTAAACGATTAGCTAATGATGAGAAAAATAATTATCAAGATAGCTCTGCGCCCTTTGTCCTGGAAAATTCTTTCTTCATGGACGACTTGGTGCACGGCTGCTCTTCCTTAGCCTCAGCAAGACAACTTCAAAAAGATCTAATAAAACTTCTTAAATCAGGAGGGTTTAACTTACGCAAGTGGAAGTCAAACTCATCAGAATTATTAAGAGACGTTGACGTCGATCAGAAACAGCAAGAAGCTTTTGATTTCAAACAAGCTGAAACTACCAAAGCTCTGGGCTTAAGGTGGTGTCCTCAAGAAGACTATTTCACCTTCCAGCCAAACATAACAAGTTATTCTAACACAAAGCTGACCAAGCGGATACTTCTATCTGAATTATCTCGATTGTTTGATCCATTAGGATGGCTCGCTCCATTTACAGTCAAACTAAAATTACTCTTTCAAGACGTTTGGAAGACAA